TTTTGTATTTTTAGTAGAGACAGGGTTTCACCATGATGGTCAGGATGGTCTCGATCTCTTGACCTTGTGAACTGCCCGCCTCAGCCTCCGAAAGTGCTATGATTACAGGTATAAGATACCACGCCCGGCCTATTATACACTCTGTTATATACTTGCTGGACTCTTTCTCCAACTGGATTTTAAGCTCCTTAAGGACAGTGACTAGGAGACACAGTAGGAGTTCAAGACATACTTGATTGATTTCCTGATTTTTGGACACTTTGAGTGTGAAATAACAGAATTTTTAAGTATCTAAAAGAAAACAATCTTCATGAAAAGTTCTTCATGTTTCTAAAATTTGCTTTGTTCAAAAGGACAAATCTCTTTTCAATACTTCCCTTAAAGCAGCACTATATTAGTAATTTTCTCAACCTCTGGCCGGAGTTTGGTGAAGAAAAGTGAGGCAGTTAAGACTACAGAGACGGCTGTATTTAAATATCTGGTGGGCGAGGACTCTGGATGTTTGACCATTTTCTACAGTCATGGAGCTCACCAAAGTTTACCATTTGTATAGGAATCTTTTAGCTGTTGGATGGAAAAATCTCTTTCCTGTGAAACTCCATGGAATTTCTGCTTCTGGCTCAGGCAACAGTTATTCATTGCAGACCATGAAAACTTGTGACACAGGTGTCCAAATGGGCACCAAATAAGTGAGAAAAGAAAAGTCTCAACTACATATTTTAAAAGTATTTTTGATTCCAGGTGATGAACTGGGCAGGCTGTGACTGGCATTGACAATATCCCTTTACTCAGACCCAGGGGATCACTTTTGATTGAAAAACCTTGTCCTCCAAACCAGCTTCCCAAGAAACAAACACAAGTCCAAGACCTTACTTCATATTCTGGATATCCACACGTTCCACCTGCATCTCTATTTTGCCCAGTGATAGTTTCAGCCTTTAATTTGAGCTGCTGTGTAGGACCTGGTTGAGGACTGGAGTTTTATGTTTGAATATAAGGCCCCTTTTCTGGATGAATTCGGCCATCTCTTCTTCCCCCTTTCAATCACCTGGGCTTGGTCGAGTGATAAACATGTACCCCTGGATACATGTTGTCTCAGAGGAGCCCCTTGGTTATAACGAGACTGCATTAAAGAGCCAGTTCTCTAGGAAGAATCTCAAATTAGTTAAAAATGTTTTCATTAAGCTTCCACTATAAAACAGCTAACAATGAGCACTGACTATCTGCTAGGTCTTCTGCCAAATACTTTACAAATATTATTTCATTTAGTGTTCACAATACTGATAGATGTAAATTTTTATTATCTTAGTTTTATTGATTGGGAAACTGAAGCACAAAAGGGCTAAACAATTTTTTTTTTTTCCCCCCGGAGATGGAGTCTCACTCTGTCACTCAGGTTGGAGTGCAGTGGTGTGATCTCAGCTCACAGCAACCTCCACCTCTCAGGTTCAGGCTGATTCTCCTGCCTCAGCCTCCATAGTAGCTGGGACTACTGGCGTGTACTACCACGCCCGGCTAATTTTTTTATTTTTAGTAGAGGCAGTTTTGTCATGTTGGCCAGGCTGGTCTTGAACTGGCTCTCAAGTGATCTGCCCGCCTCTATCTCCCAAAGTGTTGGATTACAGGCATGAGCCATGGCACCTGGCTAGGGGCTAACCAACTTATCAAGGTCATATAACCAGTACACAGCAAAACGGATTCCCTGATTTTTCCCCCTCCTCCCTAAATCATCTTCTCCCTCTGTCTTCCTCCTGTCTGGCAGCTGATGGCAACTCCATCCTTTCAGTTTCTTAGGCCAAAACCCTTGGGACATTCTTGATTCGTCTCTCTCTCTCTAAACCCTACATTCAATGCTTTGGAAAATTCATTAGCTCTGCTTTCAAAATATATCCAACTCTGACCACTTCTCTCTACCTCTTTGCCCTCCCCTGATTCAACCTATCATCACCTTTTGCCTGAAGTGTTGCCATAACCCTCCTAACAAATCACACTGCTTCTATCTTTGTCTCTTTGTCTACCCATAGCCGAGTAATCTTCCAAATAGAGGTCAGACCATACTGCTCCTCTGCTCAAAAGCCAAAGTCCTTCCACAGCCCTGCACATCCCATCCCCAGGCACCTCACTGCCTGCTGCTATCCTGAGAGGGAATGAGGACAGCAGCAGGCATGGAGGTGCCTGGGGATGGCAACTCCCTACCTGCTCTTCTGTGAACACCAAGGATCGCTGGCCACAGGGTCTTAGCATGAGGGCTCTTAGTTTGGGATATCCCACCCTTCTCCACGCTCCCATAGCCTCATGGTTAACTTCCTCACTATCCAGGTCACTACCCAAATACCAGCTTTTCAATGTATCCATTACTCTATTTACAACTGGAACCTACTCGCCTAGATAGTAGGAAATCCTCTCACTCTCCTCTAATTATCCTATAGCATCTATTACCTTTTACCATAGCATGTAGTTTGTTTACTATGCTTATTACTCATTGTCTGCCCTTCCCCCATCACACAGGTATTTTTATCTGTTGTGTTCTCTGATATATCCCAGGCACCCAGAGTTGTACCTAGCACATAAATATGTCAATAAATATCAATAAATATGTGTTGAATACATGACTGAAAGAACACATATCAATAAATATGTGTTGAATACATGACTGAAAGAACTTGGATCACAAATCTTAGAGTGGTTATAATTTTGTTGTAAACTAATACAGCATTCTCACATGAAAATGGAATAATGCAGAATATATTATGAGGTGGTCTTGATCAAGGGTCAAGTGAAGAGCAGATGTAGTGGCATGTGCTCAGATGAGGGAGATGTAAGATGTAACTGGAGGTGGTGTGGGTTGGGACGGTGCAGTGGGACTCAATGGGAAATTCTTTTAATTTTGCAATGCATTGGCAAGGACACCTTTTCTTCTTAATTAGAGGCCCATGATTTAAAGTTGTAGCCCTGTATTTGCCATACCACAAATTTAGTACTGAGATGTCTCCTCTTCCCACTTCCCCTGCTCTGTGGTCTCAAAGGCAGTGGCTATTTCTCGGTGGTATGGTCAGACATAATGAGAAATACAGATCCAACTGTTGGATCACTCAAAAGCTGGGAGGAATCTGGAATGGAGTTATTTGATTTAGAGTATTTTAATCATTTCCTGCAGGTTGGCAGGTCCCAGAAGGGTCAATTTTCAACAAAATCAGACAGGATACACTTGAAGAAATTTCAATGCTTCTGCATACAGTTTTTAAAATTTGGTGGTGTCCTACTCAGGCCTACAGACTGAGGGTTGACCAGATGTCTGAGACATGGACATTTCTCAGTGGTAACACTTCTCTGACACAATCCTAGTTTCTTGCTTTGGTCAAGTAAAACTTTCCCATCATCTGTACCATTTACAATGGGTTACCTTGCTTTCAAGAAAATTGGTTTGCTCCTCACACAAGATGAAAATTGGCATTGGGGGCATTAGGAGGGAGACTGTTGTGTATCATGAAGACTGGCTTCCTGTTCTTTTATGATAATCCATTTCTATATTATCTACATTCAGTGCATGCCTGTTCTTTCTTGTCCAACTGTGATGGTATTAAGGACACAACTCTAATTACTGAGGGGTTCTATCAACACAGCTTCCAAAGGCCAATGGGGAAGTGACTATAGTATAATAACTACCTAAGCTGACCATCAGGCCAAATATTAGTTTCTAGAATGAGCTAATGAAGAAATGTATTCAGTTAAAGAAACTGAATACGCCGACAAAGGTTATTTTGGAAATGCTCATGTTAGGGGCTGATGTCTTTTTTTATTTTTATTTTTTTGAGACAGGGTCTCACTGTCACCCAGGCTGGAGTGCAGTGGTGCAATCTCAGCTCACTGCAACCTCCGCCTCTCGGGCTCAAGCCATCCTCCCACCTCAGCCTCCTGAGTAGCTAGGACTACAGGCATGTGCCATCATGTCCAGTTAATTTTTGTATTTTTTGTAGAGATGGGTTTCACCATGTTGCCCAGGTTGGTCTTTAACTCCTGGGTTCAAGTGATCCACGCACCTCGGACTCCCAAAGTGCTGGGATTACAGGCATGTGCCACTGCACCTGGCCAATGCTGAGGTTTTGACATGAGCTAACTAAGCCCCGACTGCCCCCTGACAGGTTGAGCTCTGAGACACTGACAGTGGGCAGGACCAAATCCAGAGACTGATGAGTTCTCAGTCACAGCTGCACATGACAACTTCCTGAGGGGGCGGTGGAACCACCAAAGCTGGGGCTCATGCCAGAGGCTTAGGTTCAGTCAGTCTGGCATGAGGTCAGGGCACCAATCTTATTAAAAAGCTCTCCAGGTGATTTTACATATAGCCAGGAATGAAAACTACCTGATGCGAAGGCTCCAGAGAAGGGCTATCTGAGGAGCTGGGAGAGAGAATGCAGTCCCTACTCTTGCCTCACAATCCCTATTGCAAGGGCTCCTTCCCCACTCTCTCTCCTGCTTCATCAGTTTTGCATTTTCTCCTTATTTCCACAATAATAAACAAGTTGCAAATTCTCCATCCTAAATAAAATGACCTCCCCAAACTCCACATTTTTCTTCAGCTCATACCCATTTTCCTGCATCCCTTTAGAGATGAACTGCCTAAGATGTTCTTTTGTATATGCTGTCCAATTCCCTTCCATCCATTCTCTTCTAAACCCGCTTTATGTGGGCCTCCACCCTCACTACTGCACAGACATAGCCCATCTTACCATCTGCTTAGGCCAGTGACTTTAGATCTCCCCTTCAACAGAAATGGGGAAGCTAGAGAACTTAACATAGACATGCCTGACACACTCTGGGGTACAGCATACCCCAATCCAGCCTGGGGCTGGTCGAGCAGTGCTGGGATCAAAGCTCAGCAAGCAGAACGAAGAACTAAAAAACTTTCCAGGGTACCTTTGGAGAAGACTGCTGCTTAAGAAACATTGATGGTGACAACGATAATGAGATCTCTAGGAAAGGGAAAGGTTATGACTTACACAGTGTGTGGTGGTGATGATGACAGAACTGGAGATAAAAGAGAGGCCATCGTTCATGCTGACCTGGAGTGCAGCTTTCCTGCAATGACAACAAGGGAAGCAGATTCTCAGCATGGTGTGCAACGAGCAATAGGCTGAGAGCCAGACACACAGGTCTCCTTTGGGCTCAGTTCTTAACTACACTTGAGACTGGAGTCTCTTCTCCAGGGGAGGAGGGGTCTAAGTTTCCTCTTTTGTAAAATGTGGAGGGTAGTCTGTATAGCCCATCCTCCTCTAAAGTTTAGAGAAATGTCAGGATATGCATGGCCGGTGTATTAAGGCAGTGCATTCAGATGTTCCGGCATTGCAGTAAGTGGCATTGAATGGGCAAAGTTTACTTTCATTTAACTTGCTTGTCACATTGTAGTTGGGCAAAGTATTCTTTAAAAATAGTCCAAGTCAATGGGGGATAAACTGGGCTAACTATAAATGTGATATTCTACTGCTGTTATCTGGACTCTCAGTGATTTGATGGGGGTGACTTTGTTACCATCCAACAGACTCACAGAGGTAAAGCAGAAGATGAATTTGCCTTCTATCTCTTCCCACTCTAAGACACTCACCGGAAACTGACCTTATGTTTTGTTGCATTTTGCATCATGGACACTGAGCTAATTTGTGAAATCAGGGGCATCACAGATTGATGCTGGGCAACCAGAGTTGGAGGTTTTACAATATGAACACACGATTAAAGGCAAAATTCAGATGAACAAGTTCAACAGTTTTCCCTTAAAGCCTCCATTCTTTGTCTAGCCTGTTATAGGCACAGTTTTGGAGAGGTTATTTTTGTTGTTGTTGTTCTCTGCACCAGCATTGCCTCATTTCCCACATATTTCTTTTCTTGCTCAGGGTGCCCATTCTCTTTCTTCTGTTGATGGTTTTGATCTCATCTCATTAGTGCTTATCATAACTGCATCACCATGAGATTTTCCCCCATAAATTAGTTCAGGGAACTTTTTCTGGTCTGGGTGAACATCCGATGCTGTGCAGAGTAGAGGAAGGAGCACTGTGTGGGAAATCGGAAGGTGTGAATCTGAGGTCTTGGCTTGCCATGAATCAGCCATGGCCCAACGTGGCCTTTTTGAGCCTCCCTTTCTCTAAGGAGGAGATAACAATCATCTAGCAGGGCAATGGTGATGACAGAGCGAGGTCAAGTGTGTGAGAACTTTCTAGAAGTGTAGGTGTGATTAAGCCAGACAGACCTTGGATTGAGCCCGGACTCTTCCACTCACTGCTTATGACCTTAGGCAAGCTATTTAAAGTCTGGCAGCCACAGTCTCTACATCTGTAAAATTGGGATAGTGGGAATACCTGGTTAATGGGGAACCTGGGGGAATGAAATGACGTACTTTGTAAAACACTTACGCTGGTGTCTGGGTCACTGTAAACACTGGCTCCATCATAAGCTAGAGGAACCTAGAGACAGGCTGCACTTTCTCTAGATGCTTGCTTTTCCCCTGTCCCCCCATACCTCCTTTCTCTCTTCCCTGGCTGGAAGGTTCTGTTGCTGGTGAAAACTTACATGCCAACTTCTTTTAAGATAGGCGCTGGACACAGTAAATAAGTATCTTCCACAGAAAAGGGCTTCTCATCTGCAAAGAGGAAATCACTGGATTAAGAAGAGGGAGGTGAGTTTACAATTTCAAATTCAGTGACTTCTAGAGAACATCAACCAAGTCCAGGGAGATACCAGAAAAACAAAAATCATTTTGAGCTTAAAAACTCTTGAGCTGCAAAACCCATTAGCAGTGAACTCAACTGCTCCTGCCTGAATCATAGCTTCCTGTGGTATGTGCAGTCGAGTCAACTGGTGAGAAAATAGTGGGTGAACTCCTAGATAGAGCAGGAATCACTGAGGGGAAACAAGAAAATATTAGACTGGTCCTAAGGAGTTCCATATCTAAGTCTAGTTTGAGAGAGAAGCCATATTTGTGGAAAAAGTTTGCTGACAAATGACTTCACCAAAGTATCATTGGGCTTCATAAGACAGGGAGCTTCCTCTACACGGCTGTCATAGTCAGGTCATAGGAAAGCACAAAACATGAGGTATGCTTTTGTGCAGAGATGAGGAAGAGACATTGAGCAAAGACAGGGCATACTAAAGGCATGTTTCAAGGTAGGATATAAGAAGGATTTGAAAAGATCAGTATAGAAAGTTTGGTCAAGTTCTTTGAGTTAGCCTGAGGGATTTGGGCAAAGTTCTGTAAGTTATAGAAAGAACTTTGGTGGGTTTTTGAGTAAAACTGAAGTGATGGTTTTGGAGGTTGTAACAGATAGAGCTGTAGAAGGTGGATCAGAGTGGGGGACTCTTGGGGTAGGGAAGTTCTTGTACTTATTCTAATGGATGACCAGGAAAAAGCTTAACATGGCTTTAATTCAACCTCCCTAAGAACTTCATTGTATCCCAGTTTCTGGGGCCAGAGGCAGGGTTGAGAAGTTATTACACTAAGTATATAATAGTCCTTCCTTCAAGCCTCAGCTTTTATCGGGTACATGTGCTGTACAAAAAGGTTGTGGTAGGGCCTATAGATGAAATGAAGATGAATAAGATCTGTGTCATTAATCAGGCTGTGACTACAAGTTCCTATAACTAGAAGACACAAAGGAATACATATATTATTAAAGGATAATATTCTGCTTTTGTGGTGACACTGATGTCTCTTATGATATCTGCAAGTCATGACTGCAGAATACAGCGGATATTAAACTCTTGCCTGAGTGAAGGTTAGGAAGCTGCCTGGGATGGGAGTTAGAGGACACATCTGAGTGCTAAGCACAACGTCCCCATTGGCAAGAGGAGGAAGAAGATGTACAGGAAAATCTTCAAGTGGTGAAAAGTTAGGGAGGTTATTCCAGGTCATTTGTGTATTCGTTCATGCAACAAATACTTATTGAAGACTTACTATATACTAGAGATGTAGGCTGATGTAGGCTTTGAGAGGAGAAACACAGTCTCTGCTTTCATGGATTTTATAGGAGGCAGGAGAGACAGTTATTTAACATTATTAAGAAATAAATTATTTGAGTGTGTCCCACATGCCAAGCAATGTGCTAAGGCTTGCAATGAACAAAACAGATAAAGTACCCTGTCCAAGGAGCCAACATGCTAGTAATTACACAAATTGTTGTGTAATTATAATTGTGATGAACACACAAAAGGAGAAGGAGGGGGCTGGCCCTCATCTGGGAGGTCAGCAAATGCTTCCCTACCCCACCCCACGCTCCGCCCCAGGAAAGGCTATTTAAGCTGAAACCTGAGGTCGGGTAAAGGGGTAGAGTGGGAGAGGGGGAGGCATTGCAAAGATCCTGGGGCAAGAAGGACCCCAGATCTTTTGAGAGCTAAAAGAGGGCCAGTGAGGGCTGTTGAATCTAAATGAGACAGACAATGGCTCAAAATGAGGCTAGAAAATGCAGCAGGGCCAGATGACCACGGCCACATAGGCCATGATGAAGCTTTTGAAATTTTTCCTAAGCACAACAGGGAACTACTGGAGGTTACCCCCATATTTAGAATCAGCTGTTGGCAGATGATGGATTGTTGCAGGAATGGTGACACTGTGTTGAGTAAAATTATAAAGCACATGGTGACAGTGTAGGATCATGCAGTACCTGAATTGAGCATTATTATTATTATTATTTTATATATATTTTTTCTGAGATGGAGTCTCACTCTGTCACCTAGGCTGGAGTGCAGTGGCACAATATCGGCTCACTACAACCTCCGCCTCCCGGGTTCAAGCTATTGTCCTGCCTCAGCCTCCCAAGTAGCTGGGATTACAGGTGCCTGCCACCACGCCCGGTTAATTTCTGTACTTTTTTAGTAGAGACAGGTTTCACCATATTGGCCGGGCTGGTCTCGAGCTCCTGACCTTGTGATCCGCCTGCCTCGGCCACCCAAAGTGCTTGGATTACAGGTGTGAGCCACCGTGCCCGGCCCAAGCATTATTATTTTCAAGATGTCCTTCCATCTGTGATGATAATACAGGCAGTCCCCAACTTAACAATGGTTCCACTTAAACAATACTGTGACTTTATAAAGGTACTTTCAGTTGTGTATATTAATGGTGAGTACCCATGTATATTAATGGTGAGTACCCACACAACCATTCTGTTTTTCACTTTTAGTACAATATAAAATAAATTGCATGAGCTATTCAACACTTTCTTATAAAACAGGCTTTGTGTTAGATGATTTTGCCCAACCATAGGGTAATGTCAGTGTTTCAAACATGTTTAAGGTAGGCGAGGCTAAGCAATGATGTTTGGGAGGTTAGGTGTTTTAAATGCATTTTTGAGTTATGGTATTTTCAACTTATGATGGATTTATCAGGACGTAACCCCATCTTAAGTCAAGGAGCATCTACAATGACAGCCAGACTTGCCAGGTCATGTTGCATGCAGGCGGTCTCTCAGCACTTCCTGTATGTCACTCAGTCAAATTTAAACTTCTAGCAGAGCTATCAGGACGGTGTATTATTCCTTTCATTTTAAAGGTGAGGAACACGCATAGAGAGATTAGGTAACTTGTCCAAGGTTACCCATGGGAGCTTGGATCTGCACCCAGGCAGTCTGGCTGCAGAGTCTGTGTGATTATCTAATAGGCTATAAGCACCAGCCTTGATAGAAGCTGCGCTTTGTTTCCTTGTAATGACAACCTCGTGAGTTAAGGCAGGGCAGGGATCATTAGGCTCATATTTCAGATGCAAAATGGAGGCTGAGGGAGATGACAGTGATCTAAGGTTGCACCAAAAGCCAGAGGCAAAGCCAAGACTGGAAATGAACTCTGCATTTACCCTTTCCTCACTAAGAGACTCTCCATTCCAGGGAAGGCTTCTATTAGAGAATAAACTGAACTTGGCACAGGCGTGGTTGACTCAAACCTATATTTATTTCCTCGTGGCCATGGCTTATCCTGTTGCACATGCACCAGCAGTACCTGGGAATACAGATCCCTGCCCACAGAGCCAGCCCACAGAGCCACGGGGCCGCCACAGAGCCGCCACAAGAGGCCTTGTGACTCTGGCTGCCTTCTGTGGGAAGAGTTGGGTCACGCCGAGGAGAGCATCCGAGGCAGCGCACTGCAGCGCCACAGCCAGGGAGACTCCAGGCTGGCATGCCCTGCTCCTGGGTTAGCGCCTGGCCTCCCTTCCGGCTGCCTCTGGACAACTCTCTCCTCCCTCCATCCCAACTGGAAAGGAGTGAGAGGGTTAGTGTGGCCCAGGCCAGGCAGACATTTCTCACTTTCCCCCTCCTTTCCTTTTCCTCTTGTGCTTGGGAGACCAAATATTTCTGGAGCAAAACAGAGGAAAACCTCACTGGGAGGCCTGCGAAGGCTTTGCCGAGGCTGTGGAAGACCTTCCTCCACCCGAGTGTATCAGCCTCCCAGGCTGTGGGCCTGCTCTGTGGAGCTGGCATTTTCTCCTCTGAGAGGATTGTTTGGTTTGGAGCCTGTTTTCGTTTTACCACAAAAATGAGTGACTTTTTTTTTTCTCTCTCTCTAAACAAAGGAGGACCATTTGGTTTCTATAACTCAGGTCATCTGACTCCTTCCTGGAACTCCATTTGGGAGGCAGGGCACAAAGCCTTCCTTGCCGCACCTCGGCCGTGCCACGTTTGGCCCCAAGGCCGTGCCAGCCTCACTGCAGCATGTGTCAAAGCCAGTGGTGTCATGATGTATGTGGGGCCATGATCCACTCCTAGGACAGCCAAGGCCCCTGCTGGTCCACCCTCTAGGTGGCCAATTTCGCTGCTCACTAGCACCGGCTGGGCAGGGGAAGTGGAGGCCAGGAGCTTGGACTGGCCCACTTGGCTTTTGTTTGTAACTGGGGAGAAAATTAGGGAGGGGTAGGAGTTTGAAATCAGACATTCAATGAAAATTTTATTTTTATGTTTAAATTTTTGTTATTTTCTTTTGAGACAGAGTCTCACTCTGTTGCCCAGGCTGCAGTGCAATGGTGCGATCATGGCTCACTGCAGCCTCAACCTTCTGTGCTCAAGTAATCCTCCCACCTTGTCCCCCCACCCCACCCCACCCTAGTCGCTGCATCACAGGAGTGCAGTGCCACACCTGGCTAATTAATTTTTTTTAAATTTTTGTAGAGACAAGGTCTCCTAGGTTGCCCAGGCTGCTCTGGAACTCCTGGGCTCAAACTATCTGCCCACTTCAGCCTCCCAAAATGCTGGGATTATAGGTGTGAGCCACTGGGCCTAGCCAAATGTAATTTTTAGATAATCTTGAAATATAAAATTCCTTTGTCCATTACCAAAGATATTTTAGAATTCTGTGTGTACCTATGACATAGGTTTACCCAAGGCATCTGTCTATAGGAGTTTGACAAGTTTGATCAGGATTTGGGGATTTATCAGGATTTGGAGGCCAGTGAGTGTCATTATCTCAGAGTGTCAAACACCCCAGACTTGGGAACTAGGCATCCCTCAAGCTGCATACCGAGGGGACAGAGAGGGGCAGAGGATATTTCAGATCACACAGAGTCAACTCTGGGCCCTTCTCTTACTAGTGTGTGACTAGGGACATACATTCTCCATCTATAAACAGTGGTGATGACATTGTGTGGGGAGTAAATAATATTGT